AAAAAGCCCTTGTCAATAATTTTATGCTTCTACCCAATCCTCCCTTTTCTTCTATCTCATCAACTCCAGCACTATCCTTCTACGATGCTTCTAGTCAATGACCCTCAGTCCACATACCTAGAAGCTTGTAAACACCCAGGTTCTTAATTCTAACATTGTGTAAGCCAGGTTCAATGTTTAAGGCCATGGTTTTAACCCTGGTTAAATCCAGCTCCCTCTGGGCACCTATGAATGGCAAAGTGGGAGTTCCTGAAGCAACCAAAGGCATTTTTGCAACGATCATGATGCAGCCCCATCACTGACAGAATTCTCTGATATTTATTGAAGAGTATTCCACTAGGCAGCCAGGTGTGCACAGGGAAATGTATAGGTCAATAGGACACTTTGCTTACACCTAAAGTATATATTTCCTCTGACCTGGTCTGTTGGTACCTTTTTTATTAAGTATGAGAAACTTTGTAACCATACAATAACTAAATAATGAAGCTCAAAATACATGACATGATAACATTTAGGTAGAAACATATCAATGAATTTAAAAAGCAAGCAAATACAAATAGATTTATATCTACTGATGTAAACTATTTATGTATATTACCAAATTTTATAAATTACAAGTAATTTTTACTTCAATAAGAAAACATATGTCTTCCATATATGCCATTTTTTTACTATAAATTCATACAAGCCAGGAAAAAATGAATGAAAGATTATAGATCAAGTTCTTCTTACTGGTAATTCAACAAAGTAGGATTGGAAGAAGGACAGGGGCTGATGACTAGCTTTGTGTTAATATGACTTTGTCTCACTTATCGGAGGTTATTTGTAAAATACTAGTACCATAAATTCTTCGAGGGTGTTTGGAGATCTTATATTAATAGCAGAAAAGAAAATACTCAGATGTGAAAAAAAGGGAGGTATAAAAGCAGTGTCATATGAGGTGGTGAAGGCCAGAGAGATGACTGGTATTTCTTACAAGAGAGAGCCCTTGGTACTGGGGCCACATCCAGAATAGTTAGGACCTATTTAAGTCTATGAATGTTCACCTTCTGGAGGAGGTGCTATGAACAGTGACAGAGAGCAATGTCACTGCTAGGTCACTCTCCACCTTGTGGAGACCACAGGAACTAGAACCCTGCCCCTCTGCTCATGCCCTCAAGGGCCTCCTCTGGGTGAAGCCTCCCCCTGCCACACCCTGCCATGGCCATCAGGCTCCTGTGCTGTGTGGTCCTTTGTCTCCTGGGAGTAGGTGAGTCTCCAGAAATTAAGAATCTGCATTTAATTTTTTTTTCATTTATAATTCTATTTGTGTTCCTTTTTCTGTTACCAAATTTATCTGCCTTTACATAACCACAGATGCTGGAGTCACCCAGACACCCAGGCATAAGGTGACAAAGAAGGGACAAGAAGTAACTCTGAGTTGTGAGCCAATTTCAGGCCATACCTACCTATATTGGTATAGACAGACCTCAGTGCAGGGGCTGGAGTTCCTGACTTCCTTCAGTGGTCTAACTCCATTCGATGACACTGGGATGCCCAAGGAACGATTCTCAGCTAAGATGCTTAATGGATCATTCTCCACTCTGAAGATCCAGCCCACAGAATCCAGGGACTCAGCTGTGTACCTCTGTGCCAGCAGCTTAGCCACAGCGCTGCAGAGTCACCCCCTCCCTGTGCAGAAACCCTCCTGCTTCCCCTTCTCTCTCCAGCCCTCAGTTATCCTGAGCAAATGTCTTTCCTGCTCCTCTTTCACCAAGAGAAATGAGTGTATTTGGGGCCTGATAAGGGCAGACATGATAAAGTATCAAGAGAGAAAAACTTGAGCAGAAAATAACGTCAGAAATGGTTTCCAGGGATTTCTCATACATTGTCGGTGGGCTTAAAACTCACCACACATGGAAGATAAACCTTATTTACCCACACCATGGATGTTCCTGCATTGATCTCCTGACCTGAAGGAGCAGCTCCTGGTAGTGGCTCCATTCTCTTCTCCCTCTGAGTTGTTAACAGAATCCACCTTACATACATGCTCACACACGTACACACACACACACACACACACACACACACACACACACACACACACACACACGATTTGATTGTACCAGAAACCTCTTTATGACAATTGTAGACATTCCTTTATAATGTTCATATCATCTTATCATTCATAGGGGCTTTTTTATTTCACTCAGAATATCTCAAACATGGGTAAACCATGTGTTTTACTACATTAGAAGGAAGCTACACTCCCGGAATCCTGGAATTTATCTCTGTCCTGCTCAGGAGAGCCCAAGCCTGAGAGCAGACAGCTGAGGCCAGTGCAGCTGGAGGCCTGTGTGGGGCTCACGATGCTCATGAGGCCTCTTTAGCCGCTGGATACAAAACAATAAACATGGACTCCACATCAGGACATCTAAACCCATGCAGACTTGTCCAGTCCTATGTTAGCCCTCTTTCCTACCTGATCATATAACCTTATGACATAAATGTGTATTTTATTCTGATTTATGCCAGAAATTTCCACATAACACTTGCAATCCATTCCAAGTTGTTAGAATTACTCTCTTCCATGGTCTTATTTCATATCCCTTCACAACCCCTATGAGGGCATCATTGGCAAAGGGTACAAAAGACACCTGTGCTTTGAGTGCCCAATGCAATTACCTGAGCTCTGTCATACAGCCAATTCCACTGTCACTGTCCTACCTTTTGCTACCCAGGCTTTCAAGATAGAAACAGTGGAGAAAAACATTTCCCCGGTGTTTACTCCAAGAGACATAATATGCTTCTATGTCTGACTTCAGTGCATCCCTCGTCCTTGTGGGTCCTCCCTGCTGCTTCCAGACCATTCTCCTCTCCCCTGTTTTAAGAGCCAGCTCTTCACACACATGGCATTAGAATATTGCCCATTGTTGCTCACTGACCTCTTTGCCATCAGGTCTCTTTTCATTTACTTCTTCTCCCCACTACTAATCCTGCCATCATTGGTGACATCATCTGCGAGAAGCCACTCACTGCCGATACTAGCATGAGAGTGCACCAAGGAACTCTGAAGGCCGATGGGCCCTGGGTGTTAGCAGGGCTAACTCTAAGCACCATCGTTCGTCTTGAGATAGTGGTGGCTCAAAGCAGTTTCCTGACCTAATTGCCTTGAAATAAATGTTTACTGGACCTTACTGGTCTTTACTGACCTTAGAGACGGCCTGTCTGCTACCTGTTTGCCATGCTTTACTGAGGGCAAGATGTGTATCTAAAACGGAATAAAAAGCCGCTAAGGCCAGGTTTCAGTGTGCCTCTTCAAAAAAGAGGTCTCCACCTGGCCCCCTACCCCTTAATGATTCATATCCTGAACCCTAGCCATGCAGGTCGCGGCAGTCATCCTCACATAGACAATTTATACAAGTGTTTGGCTTCTCAGTTTTTTGACCTTTTCACTTTTGATGATTTTTTAACCTCCAATCTTTTCCAGATGCACTTCTACAAGGCACTTTTACAATTATCAAGACATATTAAATGAACAACATATAAGCTCCTTCCAAAAGTTCCTTTCAATCATCCTCTCCCTCTACCTGTTCCTCCTTTCTTTCCATCTCACTGACTCAGTACCATCCTCCTATGATGCTTCTAGCCACTGGCCCAGAATCCACATACCAAACAGCTTTTAAATTCTCATGTTCTTTTTTTTTTAAGTTTATCTATTGATTTTTGGAAGGAAGAAAGAAAGAAAGAAAGAAAGAAAGGAAGAAAGAAAGAGGGAGGGAGGGAGGGAGGGAGGGAGAGAAACATTGATTTGTCGTTCCACTTACTGATGCATTCATTGCTTGATTCCTGTAAGTGCACTGGCCAGAGATCAAACCTGCAATGTTGGTGAACTGGGGTGACGCTGTAACCCACTAGGTAATCCCAATCAGAACCTGAAACATCCATATTCTTAATTCTCACGATGTCTAAACTACATTCAATTTGAAGACCATAGCATCAACCTTGGTTAAATACAGCTCTCTCACGGCACCTGTGAATAGAAAAGGGGAAATTCCTGATTGAACTAAGAACATTTTTACAATGATCAAGACACAGCCTTGCCACCTACAGAAATTCCCTGATCCTCACTGAAAAATATTCGATTAGGCCTCCAGGTGCGCACAGGGAAATGTATAGGTCAATGAAATACTTTGCTTACATTAAAAGAATTTATGTGCTCTGACCTGGTTTTTTGGTGTACTTTTTTTTAAATATCAGAAACTTTGTAACCACACACTAGCTAAATAATAAAGCTCAAATATATGTTATGATACCATTTATGTGAAAACATTTTTATGAATAATGAAACCAGGCAAATAGAGATAGATTTACATCTATTATATTTTGTTAATTTTTAGAAGTTACAAGATAATGCGTAGAGAATGCATTTACTTCAATATAAACAAAAACTTATATCTTCTATATATGCCATTTGTTATTATAAATTCATATGAGCCAGGAAAAACCTATGAAAGTTTATAGATCAAGATCTTACTGGTAATTCAACACAGTGGTATTAGAGGAAGGACAGGGGGTGAGGCCTAGCTTTGCGTTATATATAAATTTGTTTCACTTATTACCAAGGTAACTAGTAAAATATTACTCCCAAAAATTCTTCCAGGGCATAGGAGGCCTTTAGAAAAAGAAAAGAAAATTCTCAGATATGAAGAAAAGTGGTGCAAAGTCAGAACAGTATGGGGTAGCTAAAACCAGAGAGACGACTGGTGTTTCTCACCAGAGAGGGCCTTTGGTGCTGGGGTCACATGCCAGGATACTTATGGCCCATTTCAGTTGATCTCTGTGTTGCATGACTGACTGTTCATCTTTGGGAGGAAGTCCTATGAACAGTGACCTAGAGCAGTGTCACTGCCAGGCCACTCTACACTGTGGAGACCAGAGGAACAAGAACCCCTGCCCTCTGTTCTAGTCCACAAGGGTCTCTCTCATCAGGGTGAAGCCTCCACTTGCCCCACCCCTCTATGGCCACCAGGCTCTTCTGCTGTGTGGCCCTTTGTCTCCTGGGAGTAGGTGAGTCCACAGAAATGAAAGATCTGCATTCTTTTATATTCCCAATTCTGATTCCATTTACACTCCTTATCCTGTTCCCCTACTTTGTCTACTTCCACAGAACCCAGAGTTGCTGGGGTCACTCAGATAGCCAGGCACATGGTGACAGAGAGGGACAAGGAGTAACTCTGAGTTGTGAGCCAATTTCAGGCCATGCCTACCTTTACTGGTACAGACAAACCTTGCTGCAGGGACCTCAGATGTGGATTTACCTTGGCAATCAATCAAGCTTCTCTTGACAAGAAAGGGAGGCCCAATGACCGATTCTCAGCTCAGATGCCCAGTGAATCATTCTCTACTCTAAAGGTCCAGTCCACAGAACCCGGGTACTCGGGTGTGTACCTCTATGAGAGCAGCTTGGCCACAGTGCTTCAGAGTCAGGACCTCCTTCTGTAGAAACCTTCCTGCTTCCCCGTCTCAGTTCAGCCTCCAGGTGTTCAGAATAAAAATCTTCTGTGCTCCTCCCTGATCAAGAGAATGCATGTGTTTGGGGATGTCAAGAACAGAAGTAATAACGTATCCACCTAGAAAACCCTGTGTAGGAAACAATGTAGGAAATAGACTTCAAGGTTGCTCACAAATTGTTGTGGGCTCACAACTCATCACACAGGTAAGATATACCTTAATTATCCACATTGTGGATTTTCCTGCATTTCCTGCATTCCTCCATCTGAATGGTAGAAGTTCTGTGTAATGGCTCCTCAGCCCTCCATTCTCTTCTCACTCTAAGCTATTAACAGACTTTCCCCCACAAGGTTTCTAGAGATCTGTCATATAGTCAACGAACACAGTCATTGACTTATGTTTTGCTATTTAGGGGCCCTGATCTTAAAGGTGGAAATAGTGAAGAATAAAATTCTACTGTGTTTACACCAAGAGATAATCTTCTTTGATGTCTGATATCAGTGCACTTTTTGCCCTCCAGGGTCCTCCCTACAGTTTACAGACCATTATCTTCCTCCTGCCTTAATAACACACACACACACACACACACACACACACACACACACAGCATTAGAATATTACCCTTTGTTCTTATACTTACTTCTTTACCATCAGGTCTCACCTCATTCACTTCTCCTCACTACCAATCCTGCCATTATCCATGACTTCTTCATCACTTGGACAATTTATACATGTTGGTTTTCTCAGCTTCTTGACCTCCTCACTTTCAATAATTTTCTATATCCAGTGTTTTCCTGATGCATTTCCATGATTCCAGGCCATGAAATAAATAACAAATAAGCTCCTTCCAAAAGTTCTATTTCAATCATCTCATGCTCCTACTTATTATTCCTTTCATTTTATCTGAGGAATGCAGCACCCTTCCTCCTCTGATTATTCTAGCCACTGATCCTTAGTCAACATACCCAGCTGCTTTTAAACTCCTGTTTTCTTCTTTCCCACATTGTCTAAACCAGTTTCAGGGTTTAAGATCTTAATGTCAACCCTGGTTAAATACAATACCCTCTGCCCAGGGCATCTGTTTGTGTCCCTTCATTATGAGCATGGTGGCCAATCAAAATCCTCCCAGGATGGATCTGGATAAAAGCCCCAATTCAGTAAAAAAGTATTTAGACTTGTGTGTCTGAAAGATAGGGATTGCCTTCAGAGAAGTATGAAGGACTTGAGATTTAGAAAGTACTTTATTGGTGTCCAGAATCTGCAGTGTTGATGGCCCCCACACAGGGAAATGTCTAGCAGACAGTAGGCATGTGATATAGCAGAGAAGAAAGAATTGTAGAAGCACAGGGTGTGATAAGTGATAATTGATGAAAGTTTTGGAGAGTTTGAATGAGCCAATCACATCCCAGAACAGATATGCCCTATTCCAGTCAGTCTTCTGAAGAAGACTAATGTTCGCTTCTGGAGGAGGTCCTATGAGCAGTGACAGAGAGTATTGTCACTGACAAGCCACTCTCCACCTTGTGGAGACCAGAAGAAGTAGACCTCCTGCCCCTCTGTTCCTGTCCATAGGGCATCATCTGGGTGAAGCCTCATGCTATCCCACCCTGTCATGGCCACCTGGCTCCTCTGCTGTGTGACCCTTGGCTTCATGTTAGTAGGTAAGTCCCTAGAAATAAAGCATCTGCCTTTTTGGATATTTCCAGTTTTTATTTCATTTATGTTTCTTATCCTGCTCCCAAACTCTGTCCACCACTTCCACAGAGCATGCAGATGCTGGAGTTGCCCAGACACCCAGACACAAGGTGACAAAGATGGGACAAGCAGTAAGACTGAACTGTGAGCCAATTTCAGGCCACAATGACCTTTACTGGTACAGACAGACTTCACTGCAGGAACTGAAGTTCCTGATTTATTTCAGTAATGGAGCTCCAATAGACAACAGCGGGATGCCCAAGGACCGATTCTCAGCTAAGATGCCTAATGGATCATTCTCCATTTTGGAGATCCAGCCCACAGAACCCGGGGACTCAGCCTTGTACCTCTGTGCCAGCAGCTTAGCCACAGTGCTGCAGAGTCACGCCTTTCCTGTGCAGAAACCCTCTGGTTCCCTTTCTCACCCCAGCCTTCAGTCGTTCTGAGTGTAAAAGTCTTCCCTGCAACTCTCTCACCAAGAGAAATGTATGGTTGTGGGGCATGGCAATAGACAAAATAACAAGGTATCAATATATATTTAAAAAATCACTTCATAGGAAATAACGTAGGAAACGTACTTTAAGGAGGCTCAAAACTCACCACACCTGTAAGATAAATCTTTATTACCCACACTGTGGATTTTCCTGTGTTCCTGCCTCGGTCTCCCCATCAGAATGGTAGGAGCGCCCGATAATGGCCCCTCAGCCCTCCATTCTTTTCTCCCTGTTAACAGAATTTCCCACAAGTTTTCTAGAATTCTGTCATATAGCCAATGCCACTTGTCATTCTTCCACCTTTTGCCACTCAGGGGCCCTCACCTTGAAGGTGGAAACAGTAAAATGTCCTCTGTGTTTATGCCATGAGTTATATTGAACATTATACATCTGATTTTAGTGCATTCTTTGTCCCACTAGCTCCTCCCTGCTGTGTCCAGACCATTCTCCTCTCCCCTGCTTTAATACTCAGCTCCTCACACACATGGCATGAGAACATTACCGTTTGTTGCTGCACTGACTTCCTTACCATCAGATGTCTCCTCAATCACTTCCTCTCCTCACTACTAACCCTGCCATCATAGGTGACATCATCATGACATAGACAATTTATACCTGAGTTTGACTTCTCAGTTTCTTGACCGCCTCACTTTTGATGATCTTTTTATGTCTCCAATCCTTTTCAGATGCACTTTGATGATTCCAGGCCACAGAATAAATAACAAATAAAACTTCCCAGCCCTAGTTGGTTTAGCTCAGTGGATAGAGCATTGGCGTGTGGACTGTAGGGTCCCAGGTACGATACCAGTCAAGGGCACATGCTCAGGTTGCAGGCCCTATCCCCAGTAGGGGGCGTGCAGGAGGCAACCAATCAATGATTCTCTCTCATCATTGATATTTCTATCTTTCTCTCTCTCTCCCTTCCTCTCTGAAGTCAATAAAAAATATTTAAGAAAATAAAATAAAATTTTCCAAAATTTCTATTTCGAACATTCCATTATCCTACTCTATTTCCATCACACTAGCTCAGCACCATTCTTCCTGTGATTCTTTTAGTCACTGACCTTCAGCCCACTTACCCAACAGCTTATAAGCTTCTATGTTCTTTTTTTTTTTTTTTTTAAATTTCAGAGAGGAAGGGAGAGGAACAGCAATGATGGGAGAGAATCATCGATCAGCTACCTCCTACATGCCCCCTACCAAGGATTGAGCCCGCAATTAGGGCATGTGCCCTGATCTGGAATTGAACCGTGACCTCCTGGTTCATAGGCCAATGCTCAACAACTGAGCCACACCAGCCAGGCTAAACTCCTATGTTCTTAATTCTCACATTGTCTAAACAAGGTACAAGGTTTTAAGACCATAATGCCCACCCTGGTTAAATCCAGCTTCTTCAAGGCACTATGGATGGCAAAAGGGAAGGTCCTCAGTCAACAGTATTTTTGCAATGATCACAACAAAGCCATATCACTGACAGAATTCTCTGATCTGATACTCATTGACATGTATTCCATTGAGCTGCCAGGGGTGCACAGGGAAGTGTATAGGTCAAAAGGATACTCTGCTTACATTTAAAGAATCAATTTCCTCTAATCTGGTGGTCTGGTAGTGTCTTTTTATTCAATATCAGAAACTTTGTAACCAAACAATTATTAAATAATGAAGCTCAAAAAATATGGTATGATCCCACTTATACAAAAACATTTATATGAATAAAGAAAGAAGGCAAACAGAGATGAATTAATTTCTACTGGTATGTAGGACTTTTATATATTTTGTCAAATTTTAGAAATTACAAGATAATGCATAGAGGATGTTTCTTCTTTTATAAAAACAAAACATATGTTTTACACATATGCCATTTTTTTTATTATAAATTCATATGAGCCAGGACAAATCTATGAATATTTACAGATCAAGTTCTTCTACTGGTAATTCAACAAAGTGGCATTGGAAGGAGGGCAGGGGGTGATGCCTACCTTAGTGTTACATATAAATTTGTCTCATTTATTACCAAGGTAACTTGCAAAATATTACTCCCCAAAATTCTTTCAGGGCATAGGAATTCTTTTTTTTAAAGGAAAATTCTCAGATATAATGAAAAGAAATGTGCAAAAGAGGAACAGTATAGGGTGATAAAGGCCAGAGAAACAACTGGCATGTCTCACCAGGAAAGGCCCATGTGCTGGGGCCACATCCAGATAGTTCTTCAGTGGATCTTCTGTAGAGAATTCATGTTCACCTTTGGGAGGAGGGCCTATGAGTGGTGACAGAGTGCAGTGTCACTGCCAAGCCACTCTCCTCTCTGCTCATGCCCACAACGGCCCACAAAGCCTCCTCCTGCCCCATCCAGCCATGGCTGACAGGCTCCTTGGCTGTATCACCCTTTGTCTCCTGGGAGTAGGTGAGTCCCCAGAAATAAGTATTCTGCATTTTTAAAATATTCCCAATTCTGATTCCTTTTATGTTCCTTATCTTGTTCCCAAACTCTGTCCACTTCCTCAGGGCTCTTAGATGCTGGAGTCACCCAGACACCCAGACACAAGGTGACAAAGATTGGACAAGAACTAATCCTGAGTTGTAAACCAATTTCTGGCCATGACGGCCTTTACTGGTACAGACAGACCTCACTACAGGGACTGAAGTTTCTAACTTATTTCCGTAATCAAGCTCCTATTGATGACACAGGGATGCCCAAGGATCGATTTTCAGCTAAGATGCCTAATGGATCATTCTCCACTCTGAAGATCCAGCCCACAGAAGCCGGGGACTCAGCCGTGTACCTCTGCGCCAGCAGCTTAGCCACAGCGCTGCAGAGTCATCTCCTCCCTGTGCAGAAACCCTCCTGTTTCCCCTTCTCACCCCAGCCATCCTCAGTGGTCTTTCCAGACTCAACTGTGTCAGAGCATGGGCCTGGGTTTGGTGTTCTTCCTCTCCCTATGGAAGACAAGAACTGTGAAAGGGCCATTATCTAGGCTGGATTATCTCAGTTCATCATTAGTGGTTGTGCCTTTGCCTTCATTATCAGAATGGTTAAATGGTACCATGGCTATATCCTCAGATCTGCTCAAACCTTTCCAATTTCTTCTAAACCCCTCTCATGGTAACTTTTCCATAACTGTGCTCCTATTTATAACAAAACACCTTTCCCCCCCACATTTTCAGAGGTCCTCTTTTTAAAAAACTTATTATTTGAAAATAGTTGCAGATTCATAGGAAGTTGCTAAGTAAACAAAGGAATCCAGTATACCCTTCATCCAGTTTCCACCAATGGTTTTATCTCCATAATTATCTACACTAATAAAAGAGAAATATGGTAATTGACGTACAACCACTACCCTTCCCATTGTCTAATCATCGAGATATGTAAATTAACTGACAGCCAAGATGGCAACCGGCAGCCAGGCAGCTTAAACTGAACATGAGGCTTGCTTGCCTCAGTGACGGCGGGCTCCAACGTTCCCGCCTGCCGCTGCCGGCCCCTGAGGGGGCAGTGTGCA